GATAGATAGATAGATAGATAGATAGATAGATAGATAGATAGATAGATAGATAGATAGATAGATAGATAGATAAATGACAGGTTCATTCTACAAGTTCTAGAGAACCCTGACTAACTTGCCATACATCAAGTATCTTAATAGACATCTACAGAGCATTCTATCCAAACACTGCAGATTACACATTTTGTTTTTCTCAGAAGCCCATGGAACTTTCTCTAAAATAGGTCATATGTTAAGATACAAAGAAAATTTTAACAAATACAGTAAAATAACTACTTGTAGTCTTTCTAATATAATGAAATAACATTACAGATGAGTGGTTCCCAATCTTCCTAATGCTGGGACCCTTTAATACAGTTCCTCATGTTGTGGTGACCCCAACCATAAAATTGTTTCATTTCTGCTTCACAACTGTAATTTTGCTACTGCTATGAATTGTAATGTAAACATTTGTTTATGCAGAACATCTGATATGTGACCCCCAAACAAGTCACAATTCACAAGTTGAGGACTACTGCTACAAATCAACCACAAAAGCAATCCCAGCACATAGAAAAACTAATGTAAATTAAACAACACAAGAAATCATGAACAAAAATGAAAATACAGCACATGAAAGTCTTAGAAAAGAAATGTATAGCTCTATAGGGTCAAGAAAATATGCTCTCCATAGCACCATAGTAGCAGCTTTGTAAGAGGGACACCAGCACACTTGAAGAACTCTATCACTGTTCTTCCCTGGGTACCCAACATTACAGTGGGAGCCACAGCTGCGCGACAGTATAATTTAAATTGAAATGGGATTAATTACATCCTCAAGTAGCAAAGGCCAAATAGCAGCACTGAGTCAACAAAGGTAAGGTAAACATTTTTAATATAATGAGCATTAAAGGCAAAGCAATGCTCACAATGGCCTGACTTATATAGATTTTTGGCACTAGCTAGTTAATTATTAATAATCATGGTGTTCCTAGAAGTGAAGTGAATAGGAAGTCTACTAAATTCTCATTCAACCTGTAAAAGCAGAAAAATTCCTGAACAAGTGAACCAAAGCTACCTTGGATCACAGAAACAAAGAATCATGGTCCTTCAACCAATTTCCAGGCTTGAATCAGTTTAGAGACAAAACTCCTCAAAGTACAGGCTGATTCTACTTGAAGAAGGACCCAGCTCCAACTCCAAAAACTAAATAAATAAATAAAATAAAATACTAATGACTCTTTCTCCCATCCTTACCCCAAAGGAGCTTTCTGCTAGGGTAACTGTACACTGGAGAAAATGAAATAATCAGACCATTTAGGGCCTACTAGACACTAGCTCTGAATTAATTCTTGGAGACCCCAACATCACTGTAGCCCTCCAGTTGAAGTAGGGGCTTTATGAAGGTCAGATGATCGAGGAAGTTTTAGCCAAATTCTGAATCATAGCAGCGCAGTAGGTTCCTGAACTCACCCTGGGTATATTTTCCCATTCCCAGAATGCATAATTGGAATAGATATACTTAGAAGTCAGAAGAATCTTCACATCCATTCCCTGATCTGTAGAGTGAGGGACATTATTGTTAGAAAGGCTAAATAGAAGCCATTAGCCTGCCTATACCAAGAAAAAAATGTGAATCAAAAACATTTTCACATCCCTGAAAATGATTACTCCATCAGGGTCTTTTGTTTGCTTGTTTGTTTTTCGAGACAGGGTTTCTCTGTGTAGCTTTGTGCCTTTCCTGGAACTTGATTTGTAGACCAGGCTGGCATCAAACTCACAGAGATCCGCCTGCCTCTGCCTCCCGAGTGCTGAGATTAAAGGCATGCACCACCACTGCTCCGGCATCAGGGTCTTAAGAGATGCAAGGGTGGTAGTTCCCACTATATATCCCTTTACCTCTCCTATTAAACCTGCACGGAAGATGGATTTATCATGAAGAATGACAGTTGATTATTGCAAATTTAATCAAGCACCAACTCCAAACAGCTGTTGGATCGAGGTGTGGTTTCCTTGCTTGAGCAGAGTTACCTATCTCCTATACCATGTATGCAGCTATTGATCATGCAAACACTTTTATCATCATTCGTGTCCAGGAAGACTTCCAGGAGTAACATCATTTCACCTGGAAAGGCCAGCAGTACACCTTTATAGTTCTATTTCAAGAATCAATTATCTATCCCTATGTCATAACTTAGTTTGAATAGATCTTGATTGCTTGCCTCTGCTACAAGGTATTATACTGGTCCATTATACATGTCATCATGATGATTTGATAAAGCAAACAGGAAAAAGCAACTACTCTGGACTTGTTGGTAAAGAATATGCACAAGAGAAGATGATAAACAAGTACAATCAAAATTCAAGAGCCTTCTAGCTCAGTAAAATGTCTAGGAATTCAGTGCTATAAGACTCACTGAGCTATCCCTTCTAAGGTGAAGAATAAGTAGCTGCACCCTTCCCCTTCTACCACCAAGAAAGAAGCACAAGGCTTGGCAGGCCTATTTGGGTTTTGAAGGAAGTACATTCTTCACTTGATTGTGTTACTCTAACCCATACAGCAAATGAGTTGGAAAGCTGTTGGTTTTCAGTAGCGTCTAGACCAGGAGAAGGCTTTTCAACAGGTCCAGGCTGCTATATGGGCTGTTGTGCCACTTGGATCACAAGATCTAGCAGGCTCAATTGTAGTAGAGGTGTCAATGGCAGAGAGTAATGCTGTTTGGGGCTTTGGCAAGCTTCCACAGGTGAATCACAGAAGTGGCCCTTAGAGTTTTATAGCAATAAAGCTAAAGTTGATTCTTTGGCTTTAAAAAAATTAAACTTGGTTGAAACTTGGTTCCCTAACCAAATGGATATAAATCCACTAAAGTGAATTGAAAATCTTAGTGATGATGAACAAATAAAATTTATCTAACATGATGCAGCCAACCACATTCACATCAGGAAATACGTGATAATAATTGTGGGTGATATACAGCAAGAGCTTTTCTAAGCCTTTAAAACATATTAGCTTAATTCTAAGCACCATGGGAAGAAGTTACAGTACTAATCCTACTTTAGTGATGAGAACATTGAGGCACAAGGAAATAATCTACCTAAATTTACATAGCTTGCAAGGAAAGGAGGCAGAGTTCAAATCTCATGTCAGGACACATATTCTTAACCACTGTGTAATACTACCCCAGAAGAAAAACACGCTAAGATCAGATCTGGAAATGTTGAACATCTGGAAAAACATGCCAGTGAACGTGTGGTTTCTAAAGGTTGTGATCCCATGTTCAAATGTCAGCTTTCCCCCTATTTATGTTAAAAGCCAAAGAACTTGATTAAAGTAAATATTAAATTTAATAGAGTTTATTTCTAAAAAGAATGATGCATGTATCAGGCAATGCTGAGAAGCAGGAGAGATCCAAGGAACTCCACACAGCAATGTGGGTAGCCAACACTTATAAACAAAAAGAAATCACATCCAAAAATGACCATCTTATCAGTTGGCAGCCTACGATTGGCTGAAGTTTTGTTGTTGTGATTGAGAGTTTATTGTTTATCATAGTAATGTAGCCAAAAATAGTTTATTTGATAAATTAAGTTACGATTTACTACAAATATGATAGCTTTAGGCCAAATTTAACATTAGTTATGTGATCTTTAGGATATCATTTATATCCCATGCCACTCAATCACCTTCCATAGCAATGAGGATTTTTTTTAAAAAACAAACAAAAAAACAAAAACCACATTTATTTAGTTACAAGTAGTGCACACCTTTAATCCCAGCACTCAGGAAGCAGAGACAGGGTATCTTTGAGTTCAAGGCCACCTGATCTGCAGAGTGAATTCCAGGACAGCCAGGATTATACAGAGAAACCCTGTCTCAAAACCTCAAACCAAACCCAAACCAAAACTGTTTGTTTGTTTGTATGTGCATGATCATGCACATGCCAAACATGCATGTGGAAGTCAGGGTACAACTTATGGGAATTGGTTCTCTCTTTCCATCATGTAGGTTCTAGGACTGAACTCAGATCCTCTTGGCAGGAAGCACCTTCACCACCTGAGCCATCTCACTGGCCCAAAAATAAAAATTCTAATATTTCATTTACACAAAAATTTGTGAGGCTTTGAGGAGAAAGTGTAAGTATAGTCCTCAAGTCCAGAATCTGGTGCCAAAAGAACCCAACCTATAACATGAGGACTTTAATTACATGCAACAAATAAATTATTGAGAGCACCATGCTTACTAAAAAAAAATGTCAACTCATAAACATACAAGCAACATTTAATGGATTCAGTGTGTTGCCTTTATATATTTATTAACATATGTATGTGTGTAACAGTAATAATTAAAGAAAAACAGGCCATAAATTTGAGAGGAAGTAAGGGGGGCTGGACATGAGAAGGGTTGAAAGAAGGGGTGATGATGTAATTACATCTTAATTAAAATTTAAAAATCCAAAACACAGGGACTGGAGAGATGGTTCAGAGGTTAAGAGCACTGGCTGCTCTTCCAGAGGTCCTGAGTTCAACTCCCAATGACTACATGGTGGCTCACAACCATCTATAATGAGATCTGGTGCCATCTTCTGGCATGCAGGCATACATGCTGATAGAACACTGTATACATAATAATTTTTTTTAAATCCAAAACACTAGTGAGAAACAAGCCACACACACACACAAATTACTAAACAGGATTTATAGCCACAACTTACAGGTTGGCAGTAAAACAGTTTTAAGACCTTTTCCCAGATATCCAAATCCCTAATAAGAACCCAAGCACTAAGATACCATAGCACATACTGTACCTCCTTGACGATTCTCACCCCTCTCGGATCCTTGATATTAACAGCTATACTCTAAAAATCAAAACGTAGACATTAAAATGTTTTCATAAGCCTTCTCATCATCATTGGCAGTTCAATAGCAGAGCCATTCATACCACACAAATTCTCATTGTAAAGTAAGCTTAGTTTCTGTATGAACAAATACTTAAGTCATCTTTATTGACTTCATTTACAATCAACAGCAAGGATCACAGTAAATATGTTTCAGTGGTAATGCTGTATAATACCAATAGAGAAGCAATAAATGTCAAGAACCAAATTACTTGTCTTTCACAGAATATTTCAATTACGAATTCTCATAATTTCTTAAGTTATTTAGTAGAGGAGGAAGAGTAATACAAACTCTATTGCTTGGATGTGATCATGAATATCTGAAATATTAGTTAAGTATCAAAGCGAGCCATGATATCAAAAGTTTTGTAAGTGCCAAGAGAATTACACAAATAAAGCAAAAACAGGAAATAGTCTTACTTTTTTATTTCGATTAACACTGAGAAAATATGTACTTTCTGTGTCCACAAAAGGAGGTCCCCAAGTTCGTGTGTCATCACCTGCTCCTGTTAATAATAATATGAGCTGTTAATTGCAAACCAGCAGGCTCACTCTGTGCATACTCTCAGGTACCTGAACAAGGTCAACTCATCCTAAGGAATCCTTACCCCTTGGGGGCTTCTGTAGCTCAGCAGAACTTTCCAGATATCCACTTTTTAATGCCAACTACTAAATCATTCCATATTCACTTTCACTAACTTGTAGTATTGAAGGTCAAAATCCAGAAGGAAGTATTTTGTTAGTGGTCTTTAGAGCTGATAAACAGCCAACTTGGGACATTTTTTCAGTTTTGTCAAGCATGTTGATCAGTTCCTTCATTATTTCCTTACATTAAGTATGAAATGAAAGTATAGGGTATATTTAAATCTGAATAATAATGTGAGTATATATGCTAAAGTGGCATAAAGGGCTGAGTATACAACAATGACTAATAATCTATAAAATATTTCTGTAAAGCAGGTGGTTGTGGTGCACACCTTTAATTCCAGCACTCAGGAGGCAGAGGCAGGCAGATCTCTGTGAGTTTGAGGCCAGCCTGGTCTACAGAGTGAGTTCCGGGACAGACTCCAAAGCTACACAGAGAAACCCTGTCTCAAAAAACCAAAACTACATATATCTATATATCTCTACAATCAGAAAAGCCTAAATAGAGACTGGGGCAATGACTCAGAAGTAAATAATGTGCTTGCTGCACAAGCATAAAGACCACAGTTCAAACCCCAGAACCCATATAAAATTCAGGTGGGTGTGGCAGTCTGCCTTTATTCCCAGTTCCTATTAGGTAGAGATAGAAAATCCACAGAGCAATATAAATACAAATGTTAGCTTGGTTACCAGCTAAAATGACAAGAGAATTAGAATGGATGTTCTGTCTAGGGACAGATGATGCAACAAAAGCAGTGGTCTAAACTGAGGCCTGAAATCTCAACCCTGAGGATGCTTCAGCAGGAAGATCATGAGTTCAAGACCAGCATGAACTACCTAGCAACAAGTCTCTGTCTCTCTGTCTCTCTCTCTCTCTCAAAAAAAAAAAAAAAAAAAAAAAAAAAAAGAATCAACAACAGGTATGAGCCGGCTGGTGGTGGCACAAGCCTTTTATCCCAGCAAATGGGAGGTAGAGGCAGACAGATAGCTCTCTGTGAGTTTGAGGCCAGCTTGGTCTACAAAGTGAGTTTCAGGACAGGCAGGGATATTATACAGAGAAACCCTGTCTCAAAAAAACCCAAGAAAAGAATAAGAAGAGGAGGAGGTATGGTATTGAAATAGGACTGGAATAAGGAAGCTAAAACTTTACAGAACCTGGAGTGGGAGGTAGGAAGTTCAGCATTCCCCAGCATATCCAGCAAAGACAAAAAGTGGAGTATATCACTGACTGGGTAGGTGAGGTGTTGCCTCTGGAAAGCAGCACTTGATAAGCACTTCTGCCAGTCAAGATTGACAAGCCCAGGCTCAACGGATGCAATGATGATATTCACCTTGGTGCTGATGAGAATTTTCTGCTAACTGTTTCAGGCTCTTATGAAAATCTATTTAGCAGGAAATCGAGTCTTCCAGATATTCTACTTTGAAGGGCTTATTGTTTATTCTAAATTAATAAGTTCATACTATTATAAATTATTATCTTTGAATCTTGTAGATAAATAGCTACTATGGAACTGGACTAGGCCATTCTCACTGATTTGAGAATTCTGCCCCAGGTCCTTAAGGATCAAATCTTTGAAAACAAATGATAATATAGTTTCATCGTTTTTTGAGACCTGTTATTATTTAGCACATGCTGGCCTAGAACTTCTTAGGTGGTAAAGAATGACCTTGAACTACTGATCCTTTTGCTCCCACCTCTCCAGTGCTGAGATTACAGGGGGCACCATCACACAGATTAATAACGATAATTTTGGAAAACTCCAAAATAAACAAGCTAAAGAATAATGTAGAGGACAAGAAGAATGGGGATTATGCATAAACACTTGTTAGAGACAGGGGCATGCTACATTGACACTTTCCTGAGCATTTTATCAATAACAGCATGAACTAACAGGTTGCTAAAATACTAAAAAGGCACCAAATAAAGTGAGAAATGTATGCACAGAGGATGTTTGCTTTGTATGAAAAGGAGAAAGAATGAGGTGGAAAGATGTTACATTCTAGCACTGGAATATGAGGCTTTAAGGCTCCAGGCCAATCTGGGTTAGGTAAAGAGATGCTACTATAAATAAATAAATAAATAAATAAATAAATAAATAAATAAATAAATAAATAAATAAATAAATAAATAAATAAATAAATAAATATTTTTTACAAGTAAAAACTTCCAAAGAATTTATCTAAAATTCGCCTTTTCCCTCAAACTTTTATGATAGTAAAATGGCAAAATATTTCTTTTATTTGAAAATAATGACATAGGTTGGGTTTTGGGGTCTCCTGTTGAAGAACTTTGATTCTTTTTCCTTCTCTCTATCTGTATTCTATTTCCTTATTTTTCCGCTCCTTTGCCCTTTAGCCCCAAGTCAGGGAGTATAGTCACACTAACCCATGGGACCACTCATCGGGGCTTAGTAGCATCAGGATCAGAACTGAGTACTTGTACATTCTTTACTAAACGTGTGAGCTTAAACAAATCACCTTACATCTTGATGCCTTTGTTTTCTCACTGTTACATTAGAACGAGTTCATCAGCATATGGAGTTGTTGCAAAGATTAAACAGACGTCAGTGGAGGGCTCAGAGCTTTGGCCAGCACTTGGTGCAGCTATCAGCACTGTAATTACTATCGTAACAGAACTTTCCAGTATATGAGAAGGAACGGGCTTGAGCCTGTTCTTGATACATATAAGTACAAGATAATTAATATAGATACAGAGAAAGATGGGGAGTGGAGAAAATGCCTCATTTCCATTATTTTCTCACTCAGTTTATGGGTACACTAATCCTGGATTATTTAAAGAACTACCAAGAACATGTACTAGCCTGACTCTACTTCTTGAAGGTAAATAGATTTACCTGGTCTTTCCACCTTTATAACTTCTGCTCCAAGGTCGCCTAAATTCATCGTGGCAAAAGGTCCTGCCAGTACTCTATAATGTCAAAGAGTAATAGATAAATGACCATTTTGAAAATCTATGTATTAACTATTTTAAGTCAATTAACACAGAGAAACTCATATAACGCTAACAATGATCAAACTTGCTAAAATTGTAATTTTTAGTATTTATCAGGAGCTTTAAAAAATTATAACCACTCTGATGCAGGAACTTTATTTCTAGAATTTTATCCTGAAGAAGAAATTAAAACAAAAGCAAAGATTTGCATATAAAAACCTTATTCAGGCGACTGGGTGACATTTATTAATGTCATCTTTCATTAACTTAGTGAGCATAGGAAACTATTCAAAATATATTGGTACATTTAAAATATAGGTAAAAGCATAACTTCTGTATAGTTCCAATTTGAAGGAAAAGTTAATTATGCACAAATATGTATATTGGAAAAATTCATAAATACTACACTTACTGTCTTTGAAAATAATGACAGTCCAGAATTTCTTTTCTGTTTATCCGCCAAAATTTCAAAGTAAGTATTTAAAGAAATACTTACTTTTCAAAAAAGGGGGGGAGACTCAATCAGTAAACTGAAGATAATCCAACACAAACCTTGTTAGATCCAGAATTCTCACACCCTCCAGTGGCTTCATACTATCAGTATCTGGCAAAACAGACAACATTGAAGGGTATGGATTACAAATTTCAAAGTAAACAATGCTTAATTCTTCATGTTCTAAGTAATCTGTTATTGTCAAAAGCAATTTTCCTTCACAATAATTCTGCTTGATAGGTAACACAGGAACCTTGACCTGTCTCATTAAAAACAATCTACATGGGGTCTGACAGAAGCATAATGAAAGGATTTACAACCTCTCTTCTCTGCAGGCCAGAATCACAGGGACCAGGGAGCAGGAAGGCTGCAAAGACTGAGTGCTGCCACTCAAGCCTCTCTCCCAAGCACCAAATGGAGCCTGCTGGAGCCAGAAGGATGTGACAACTTCACCTTTCCAATCAGCACAACTGTGCCAGAAATGTATTCCAGGGAGTACTATTCTAATTTCTTACTTTGTGTTATTAATTCCTACCCTTGCCTGTACATGTCTTGATGGTTTCTAGACTGTTCTGTGTATTTCTCTACCCTCTCGTTTACTGTGCACTTTCTCCTTGTACTTTCCACCTGCCCCTCATACACTCTCCTCTTACTCCTGTCTTCTTTTTTCTCCCAGCCTTACGCCTCTCTTTTTATTTCTTGATTACACCATCCCTAGCTTTAACAATCTCTAAAATCCGTGCGTCCTAAGTAAGTATTTGGGCTTTCCCATCCCAGTTTATTGCCCACCATATCAATTATTTTTTTATTTTCAAAGTTGATCTAAATCTAATACTTATCCCTATCTTTGCTTACCTACTTACCTCCCATGCCTAATCTTAGTTACTAAAATTAGTGTATGCCCTACTACCCAAGTTTGTTTATCCTCTAACGCTCGCTGAAGGCAGCAAAGGGACTGTATTAGCTAGCTCTGTGTCAACTTGACACAAGCTAGAGTCATCAGAGAGGAAGGAGCCTCAGTTGAGGAAATGTCTCCACGAGATCCAGCTGTAATACATGTTCTCAATTAGTGATCAATGGGGGAGGGCCCAGCCCACTGTCAGTGGTGCCATCCCTGGGCTGGTGGTCCTGGGTTCTATAAGAAAACAGGCTGAGCAAGCCAGGGACAGCAAACGAGTAAGCAGCACCCCTCCATGGCTTCTGCATTAGCTCCTGCCTCCAGGATCCTACAGGATAGGATTGAGTTCCTATCCTGACTTCCTTCAATAATGAACATAAAAATGGAAGTGTAAGCTAAATAAACCCTTTTCTCCCCAACTTGCTTTTTGGTCAAATGGTGTTTCGTCACAGCAATAGAAACTCTAAGACAGGGACCACAACTGTTAACTAGCTAACACAACGTTTAAACAGGCCAACCTGATAAAGAAAGATCCCTCACAGAAACTTCCAAAGTTACTATGGATTGTATCAAATTGACAGTTAAAACTAACCACTGGGATTGGTAACATGGCTTAGCTGCTAAAGGCAGTTATTTCCAACCTTGACACCTTGAGTTCCATACCTGGAACACACAGAGTAGAAAAAAACCAGCTTCCACAAGTTATCCACTGACCTACAAACATTCACTGGGAACATGCACACCTTTTTGCATACACACACATGCAAATAAAATAACCAGCTCTAGGAAGAATTGGTGAAGGGGGAAACATGTTCAAAATATATTATGTGGAAAAATCTAAAACCAGCCTGTGGTGGTGTGGTCAAAATAGTGGTTAATGGCTAGACAGTGGTGGCGCACACCTTTATTCCCAGAAGTCAGGAGACAAAGGCAGGCTGATCTCTGTGAGTTTGAGGCCAGCCTGGTCTACAAACCGAGTTCAGCCAGGGCTGTTACACAGAGAAACCCTGTCTCAAACAACCTAAAAAAAAAGTACTCAAAAGGCAGAAAGACAAACATGGCCATATGTAAAGGGTTGCTGATCAGGACAGTTCCAGATTTCTTAAAGATTTTTTTTTTTAAGTGTGTGACTGTGTGTGTGTGTTTCTGAAACAGGAAGAATTGGCACTCAAGTGTATGCAGACACCAATGGGAACCAGAAAAGGGTATTGGATCCCCTGGAAATGGAGCTACAGGAGTTTGTGAGCAGCCCAAAGTGTGTGCTGGGAACTGAACTCTGGTCCTCTGAAAGAACTGCAAGCAGTCTTAACCACAGGGCCATCTTCAAGTATCAGATTTCTCAAAAACATCACTAGAAGCTAAAACATTTTTAAAGGGAAACATTTTTTAAAGATTGATGATATATAAATGTCTTCCCTAAATTCTAAATCCAATCAAAATACAAAGCATGTGTGAAAGTACAAAAAAATTGAAAACCTTTATCGCCACATATCCTTTCTCAGAAAAAAAACCTGCCACTAGGTGTCACTATTCTACAAAAAGATGAGTAACAAAAATTAGTGGATTACACAAAGGAGAGCAGAAGAGGGGATGCTAAGGATCAAAATGGGGTACAAATGGTTCAGGATACTTAAAATGCAGTGTGTGGGGGGGGAGACTGTTAAATGGAGCTCAGACACATGGACAGATGAACCTTTGAACTGGGCTGCAGACACACCACACCACTCTGTGTGAACTGACTTTTGAAATACTCTTAGGTCTGATGATCTATCTGTAGGATGGACCCCATTACCCAAACTACTCCAAGATAGCACATCCAAACCCATTTTTTACAAGATGACTTTTTATAATCACCTGTAATAATTTCTGACTAACAACTAATATTATTTCCATCCAACTACAATGCAATTTAAAATCATAAATACGTGAAAGCTGCCCCAGGAAAGGATAGCAGAAACTGCAAGGGAACTGCTGCTCCCTTGAGATCTCAGCGGCATGAAGGGACCCAAGGGAACTACTAGGAAGGGATTTACCACCTCTGCTCTACCACACACCAGAACACCGGCGCTCCAGAGACCAGTGGATCCTACTCAACCCTCCTACATATGGTGTCAAGTGAAGCCAGACTGGATAGAGCCAGACAAATATGAGAACTTCAACCTTCCACACATCACAGCTGTGCCAGCAACTCATTCTTTAAGTATTCTTTTTTTTATTTCTTACTTACACATATTTAATTTCCACTCTTGCATACATGCCTCGTGACTGTTTTGAGTGTGCTTGTATATTGCTCAGTTAGAATGCAGGACTGTTGTTTATGTTTCTCCACCCAGATATCATAAGACATACTTTCTTACACTTTTCAGCTTCATCTCATTACTCTTCTTCTCCCTATGTGTTTTCTTCCTTCTCTCGTTCTTATCCCAGCCTCCTTTTTCTTCTTGGTTGCAACCTTCCAAAAATGTAATAATCTCTAAAAATCTATGGATCTGGAGCTAGAGAGATGGCTCAGTGGTTAAAAGTGCTAACTGCTCTTGTAGGGGGCCAGGTTCAGTACCCAGAGCCTGTATCAGATGACTCACAAGTGCACATAGTGTGCATAAACACACATTCACACACCTGCATACACACAAACACAAATTAAAATAATAATTTTTTAAATAAACAAATAGAATCCATGGACCCCAAAAGTATCTGAAGTTTTCCCTCACAGCTACTTTACCCACCTCATTTTTTTCTCTTCAAAGTAGAGCTAATATTTAATTCTCATCCCTATCCACTGTACTTTTCTCCCACCCATATGTTTAGTTAAAATTTAAATATACCCTATAATACCCTTGGTTGCTTATCTTCCAAGAGTTATTAAAGTCAAAGTAGCCACTGCATAATGAAAACACCCAGCAACTATTGTTGCCATCCCAGTTAACACATTACTCGGGGAATAATGTCAAGTTTACACTAAATAGCCTTAGCTCCTGGGCTGAGGAACTATTTTCTAAACTACACACTCAACTCTACCACATCCACGTTTGACTTGAATATTACAAATACTTCCATGAAAAGAATATAGCTAAAAACTAACAAACCTAGCAAGAAATAACACCACAAGTAAGTCCCAATGCAGTAACAGAGAAATATGAGACACCAAGACAACATAACACCGCCAAAAATCACTAATCCTACAGCAATGGTGTTTAGTAAGAGTGAGTTAGATGAAATTTTGAACAGAGAACTTAAATGATTATAAATACGTTGAAAAAAAGCAAAGAAAAAAATAAGCTCCTGAATAAGAACACAAACAAGTAAATAAAATAAAGGAGGTGAAAAATATGAAATATGAACTCAACAAACAGAAATACTGAGGAAAATGATCTAAAATGATGGAAATGAAGAATATAACACATCAAATAAAAAAACTGTAGCAAGTCTCATCTATAGAATGGATCAAGAAAAGAACAGACTAACTCAGCTTGAAGACAAAGTAGATAAACTGGAACAATCCAACAAGGACAAAGATAAGCTAATAAAGTACCAGAAAGAATCCAAAATGGATATGACACTTTGAAAAGGCCAAATATACAGATAAATGGGCATAGAAGAAGAGTCTAGTCTAATGCCAAAGAAAGCATTTTTTAAATAGTCATACTGGGAAATTTCTCAGAACTAGGAAAACAGATGCCAATCCAGATGCAGGAAGCAATTAGGACTCCAAACAGACAAGATTAGAAAGACCTCCCTTCATCATATAATAATTACAAAACTAAATATAAAGGACAAAAAAAAGATATTGAAAGCAGAAAAAAAAATGAGACACCAAGTCTCAGATAAAGGTAGGCCCCAGGAATAACACCATGTTGTTTAACTGAACTCTCAGAAGGCAGGAAGGCCTACACAAATGTGTTTCAAGTTCTGAAAGACAACAACCTCCAACCCAGGCTATGGTGATATTTTATTTGTACTGAAATGTGATTTTATTTGTATGTTAATTAATAAAATTGCCTGGGGGTTAGAGCTAATAGCAAGCCATAGCAGAAGTCTGGCAGTGGTAGCACACGCCCTTAATCCTGATCACATGACAGGCAGATCTCTGTGTGTTCAAGGATACCACCAGCATGGAGACACACGCCTTTAATCTCAATATCAACCATAGAAGATCTGGAGGTCTGTATAGATGGGTAGTGACGAGGAGGTCATATGGTTGCGTTTACAACCA